ATGCATTATAAAAAGAGAGAGGGAAGATTTTTAGTTACTAGCTGTGATATGGATCTGTACCAGAATGACTGCCTCTGCCTGGTAGGTACTGACCCCAAACAGAATAAATCATCTGTTCACATTTAACACTTTTTTATACTCTCTGGGTCACTGTCTCCCTGTGTGACTCTCATGTGTGGTGTCTTTGTTTTTAACTTCATGGGTCCTGACCAAGCCGTGACTGACTACCCCTCAATCTGCTTCAGTGGTTCTCTTCCTTTCATTTGCCCTAAAATAAGTGATCTGCAAGCTCTGCCCCAGCGTTTGTCTTTTTCCTTTGTACACACTTGTTCTTTCTCTGTGGTCTTACCGATGCCCATAAAACTCTTACTTCCACCAGTCTTGGCCTTGACCTGGCCTTATCTGTGAGCTGCTCCCCATAGCAGGCTGTGATAGTGGGGGCCAAGCTCACCTGGTGGGGTGAGGTGAGGTTGAAGAGGGTCCTACCTTCATTGCAGACCCAAAGGATTGAGCAGGCCATTACAACTTGGGCACTGGGGGCACACCAGCAGGTCAGCCATATCCCTGGGCCACCTCCACTAGGAGAGCCAGCTTCCTTGGTGCCCAGAGTTTGCTAGATTCCTGGGTTGCAGGTAAACATCTTGGGGTGTCCCAGCCTATACTCCAGACTTTATCCCAGTCAGCTGGGGAGAGCTTGTTCCTGCCAGCCTTATTTCTTTTTCCCAATCTTCTTCCCCTTGTCTCTGATATATTTCCCCAGGTGCTGGGAATTCTAGTGTCTGAATTGGGGTTTCTACTCTCACTACTCCAGCCACATGCTCCTTCTAGGTGGGGACAGTGTCTCCTCCTTCTATTGGATTTTATGTGTGATCAGATTAAAGAGCCAGACCTGTCTTCCCAAGTATTTACCCAGCTCCCTTATCCCTGCTCCCTCCGATCTCTCTGTCCTTGCTCCCTGTACACCAAGTGGCTGTGTGGTCAGCAATCATCCTGGAATTCACAAGAATCTCCCCTCAATGCAGATTACCTTGAAATGATACCCAAACCCAGACCTTTCTCCCCAACTCAGCCTGACTCATTTTCTGCTGGCTCTCCTTGCAGGTTGTGCTTGACACATCTAAGCCAAATATCATTCTTCTTCCAGCTAACTAATTCCTCTTCTCCTTGCTTCTCTACTTTGGTTAATCATTTCCCAGTCACACAAAGCCTCCCAGCCCCTCATGTTCCCAACCTTCAAATCAGTTGTTAGAACTTGTAGATTGAATTTCTTGAAAGAAGCTGAGATGCGATATAGAGTAGTGGTTACTGTGACACCAAAATTCCTAGTTCTGCTACATAATATCTGGGTAACCTGAGGACAGTGATGGAACCTCTCTGTGCCTCAGTTGTCCCATCTGTCAGATGGGAAAAACAACTGTCCCTACATCACAAAATTGCCATGACTTCATATACGCTAAAGTACTTGGAAAAATGCCGGGTGCATTGTGTCAGCCTTCTACTATTTTTATCTGTTCCCCCCACCCCAGAACCTTCGATTCCACCATGGCCTTCATTTCATTCTCGCCCTGAGCACCCTAGTTCATCTCTTCACAGAACTAGTCCCTTAGTTCCTAACTGTTCCTCCCTGTCCTAGCTGTTCTTGCTGCATGCTGGATAGAGCTTCCTAAAGCATGGCTTTGGTCACCCATTGCTTTTCTCCATCACCTCCGCTACCCAGCTGCCACCATCTCTCACCAGGATGATGGAAATAGTTCCCCAGCTGGTCGCACTGAATCTCCTTGTGTCTTTTCCAACCACCTCCATACTCTTGTCACATCTGATCTCGTCACGTCCCTGTTTAAAACACTTCAGTGGATTCCCAGTGCTCCTTGGAATAATGGTAGCCACAGCCTTGCTACTCAAAGTGTGACCCTGAAGCTTGTTAGAAATGCAGAATCTTGGTTCCCATCCCAGACCTAGTGCATCTGAATTTGCATTTTAACAAGATCTCCTCCATTAACGTTTGAGAAACCCTGTTCTTCGAGGCCCCAGATAGTCTGGTCTTCTTTCTTCAACAGCCTCCTCCTGCTATACTTCTCCCCTTGCTCACTGAGTCTCACTGTGTTCCTGCCTCTCTGGCCTCCATTAGGTCCCTCCAATGGTCTCCCTCCAATGGTCCTCCTCACCATAGGGCCTGGTACCTATGCTTCCAGCAACCTGGGATGCTCTTCCCATTATCCTTTTGCTTTTGCCTGGCTAGTTCCTTCAGGCCTCAGCTCAACTGTCATTTTCTCAAAGAAGGCCTTCCTGACTCCTAAGACCAGGCCAGATCCCCTTATTATTCAGTTGCATAGCATCTTGTGCTTTTCTTTTAGAACACCTAAAGCAATTTGTAATTGTGTCTTTATTTGCGTGAATATTTAATGACTGCGCATCTCTCTCCCTAGACCGCAACTCTATGAAGATAGATACCCATGTTTGTTTTGCTCATCTTTGTATTCCTCAGAATCTAGTACAGTGCCTGGAATATTACAAGTACTTAATAAAATATATCTATTGCCGCCTTTGTTCATTCACATAACAGATACTTATTGTATACCTACTATATGTCATCCTCTAGATGCTGGTTGTATATTAAAAAGGAAAACCACACGGTTTCTGCTCTCATTAAGGTCTAGTGGGGGGAAACAGGCAATCAAATAATCACAAATAAATATAACTTTACAACTGAGGTAAATACTATGAAGCAAAGGTACAGAATGCCATGAACGTTCAGGAAGGCTGGTCAGAGATATTTTACAACTGATTCTACTCAATATAAAAAACATAAAATTCAACATGTATGTTCCTTTTTAGAATAGCTTTATTGAGGCTTAATTCATATAACATATGATCCACTCATTTAAACTATACCTGTCAATGGTGTCTAGCATATTCATAGAGTTGTACTACCATCACCACAAATTTTAGAATGTTTTCATTTCCCCAAAGAAACCCCTCTCCCCTTAGCCATCCTTCCCATCCTCCCCAGCCCCTCATCACTACTAATCTGTTTCCTAGCTCTATAAATTTGTCAATTCTGGACACTTCATGTAAATAAGATCATATAAAATATGATCTTTTGTGACTCGCTTCTTTCACTTAGCATAAAGCTTTCAAAATTTATCTATGCTGTAGCATTTATAAGTACCTCATTTCTTTTTATTGCTAAATAATATTCCCTTGTACCATGTATTTTTCTTAGCACAGCCAGAAACAGGATGCCATTCCACTGTATTTGCCATAGCCAAACAAATTCAGTTTGTCATGTTTCTAGAAAAAGGTGACAGTAAGTAAATGTTGGCTGAGATTTACAAGGGTGGCAGCCGTGTTTAGAAAGCTTCTTTTCATGAGTGACTTTATTCACTCAGCTCTCTTAGTCCGTTTAGTATTCTGACTCACAAACGGAAGTGATTCTATTTTGGCATTCTTTCTCTTTCTCCTGCACTTAGTTCTTTGGTCTCTACTGACTTGCTGTGTTAAATTATGCAAGTTACTTAAACTCTGTTTATTTAACTCCTGCGTGCTCTGTAAAATAAGCCCAGTCCAGCCTACTTGTTTGCCAAAGCTGTTTGGAGACAATTTTTCATATGATATGCATCATCAGCTCCCACAGAAGGCAAAAGGAATTTGATGTGTGGGGGTAGTCTGGGATCCAGTCCAAAACTAGTGCTCATCTGGAAGAAATATAGAAGCCTGATACTTGCTCACTGGCCTTTTAGTTGTACTCACTTATTGCCTTCCCTCTAAGGAACTTTGTAAATCTTTATCTCTTCTATGCATTTTCTATATAAGGTTAGATAAGCTTAAAAAAAAAAAAAAGATGGTAATAGAAAAAGCCTTCTGACATCCTTTATTGGCCAACTGTGAACCAAAGAGAGTAATTTGTCTGACCTAGCTTTATGACCTGCAGAAGGATTACCCATGATATTCAGAATTCTAATTTTCCCCCCTTGAGACTGTCCTTGCCAGACCCCGTCTTGGGATGTAAAATCCAATTAGATTAAAACGATCACCCATCTGCTTATGCAGTGCTCTGTGCTGGGTGCTGAGGAGGCTGCAAAAAGAAAGAAAATGAATCCCTGGTTTCAAAGAGCTCGCAATCGAATGGACAGATAAGAAGCAGTACATGAGGGGCGCCTGGGTGGCTCAGTCGTTGAGCGTCTGCCTTCGGCTCAGGTCATGATCCCAGGGTCCTGGAATCAAGCCCCACATCAGGCTCCCTGCTCCGCGGGAGGCCTGCTTCTCCCTCTCCCGCTCCCCCCGCTTGTGTTCCCTCTCTCGCGGTGTCTCTCTCTGTCAAGTAAATAAATAAAATCTTAAAAAAAAAAAAAAAAAAAAAAAAAAAAAGAAGCAGTACATGAGGCAGAATGAGCTAAGTGCCAAGAGGAGTGGAAACAAGAGGAGAGATTATTGCTAGGAGAGCTGACTGGAATGGTTACATGGAGAAGATTATTTGAGCTGTGTCTTAGAGGACAGTTAGAACTTTTAAAGGGGATGTAGAAAATAGCAGGTGAACGTGCCAAATGGACTTCCCGGGGGTGTGTGAAGGGCAGCTGTAAAAAAATACACCTGCAAAAGTAGGACGGAGACCTCGAATACTAGCCTAGGGAGTCTCTCCTTGATAATTTAAGCAAAAGAAAGCCAACGAAGTCTTTGGCAGGGCGTACATCAAAAGTGCATTTCAGGACAGTTAACCTGGCAAGAGGGTAAAAGATGGATTGGCAAGAGGAGAGCCTTCAGGCTGGGAGACCAAACAGGTGGGGGCTGAGCCGAGGCAGAGAGAATGGAAAGGAGGTGACCGCTAAGACACCCTCTGAGCTGTAGGTATGGCGAAGGCTAGGGGCGGACAGTCCAGGACAGAACTCCCTCGAGGTAGGGCCTAGGAGGAGTCCAAGTCATAGCCACACCCTTAGGTGACGTCAGACGGTCGGCTGCGCTTCCGATTGGCTATTCCGACCGCCAGTCCTAGGAGAAGGCGGTGCCCTGCCCCCCGCCCGCTCCCGGCTCAGAGCTGGGCTGGCCCCGGCGGAGAACCCCAGGAACCCCGCGGCAAGAGCAGCGAGGACCTCGGGAGCTGCAGTCGGGGGCCCGCAGCAGAGGTAGGCAGATGGAGAGGGCCCGGAGCTGAGGGGCGATCCCAGCCGCTCAGATGCCGGGATCCCCGCCCCCTCGAGAGCGCGCCGTCCCGGGGGGCTCGCCGGGCGGAGGTTGGGGGCGGCGGGCAGAGCCGGCGGGCGGGGACCGGGACGGTGGAGCGCGTTGGCGCGGGATGGAGCGGGACTCGCCCCCGCGCCTCCCGCCGCAGCTCCGGTACTCGGTGTCGCCCCACTCGCTGCCCCCAGGTCTGGGGTCTCGGCCGGAGGCGGTGGCCGGCGGCTCCTCGCCCCCTGCTCTCCGGTGACATTTTGTTTGAAAATGCGGGCCCCGGGTGTGTGGCGCGGCGCGGGCGGTCCTGTGGGGGCGCAGACGGCAGTCCCGCGTCCCCGCGCCCGGTGGCCAGCGCAGCTAGGGATGCTGCGGCTCGGCCTCGGCTTGCTGGGAGCCGCGCTGTGATCTCGGGGCTGAAACTTCTCAAAACTTGAAAGAACCATTTTCTGCTCCTCGTGTTGCCGGAATGTCAAAGTGCCCTTAGGTGACCTACCGTGAAACTGCGCTGGCCCTGAGGTTATTAGACGACTTTTTAAAAAGACGGAACATTTGAGCCATCGATTTTGATGTGCGAAACTGTGGAAAGAGCAAGTCGAACGATTTACGCCTAAAAGCTTTGGTGCTGTGCTACCTGCAGGTCACTACTTTCTTTGTGAAAATGCCTGTCGCAAACCTCGACCGCACAGCGGTGTGTGTGTGTCCCCGAGGAGCTGTGGAGTGGGGAGCACGGCTGCCCGGGGCAGTGCCACCGAAGGGCGGGCTTAGTCCAAGTGGGGCTGGTTGGTGGTCAGGAGGCTTCTTAAACAAGGCATGCCTCAGTGTGGTCAAGAAAGAGATCCTTTCTGATTTAGACAAGAAATACACACTTACCTGGCCGAGTTAACCCGTGCCGTAAGAGGAGAGAATTAAAGAATGTGAGTGGCTAACCCTGAGCTTCATCAGGATAAGCCTAAATAGATGATTTTTTTTTCTTTTTCTTTCTCTTTTGGGATTTGGAAGAGAAACAGGAAGTCAGAGATTCAGAGAAAGGAGCATTCACTCCATAATTGTAAACAGTTTATTTTGTGTCAGTAAATATTTCCCAAAGTCATGGGGGGAGGGGTATTTGGGAAACCAAGACTTTTCCTCTCCACTGCAGTGAAGATAGATTACTTTCAAATTCAAAATCTAGAAATGATATTTATTTAGCAGATGGTTATAACTCCCAAAGCCATACAGTTATGTTCTATAAAATCAGTGGTAATGGAAAATGATAGTGGATGTTGTTCAAAGTTAGAATCTTTACTCAAGATGGTGTATTAACAGTAACATAACAGTATAATAGTTACTTTATACTAACCGAAATTACGGAATGAAATGAGGAAATCAGGTGTCTAGACCTCTGGGGGACCAATCTGTAGTTTTGAATTTTTTAAGATTATGACCCTATTAATAGGGAATGCAGACATTAGATGCCAATTTAATAATATTCTTAAGGTTTTTCTACTTCATTGTAAAATATATAATGAACATAACTAAAGATATGAATAGGTATGTTTAACTTAGGGTTTATTTATTGTGTCGTTTTCATAGCAAAGTAGTCTTGGTAAGATGTATGTATGAACTTGCCATATTTGAAGTTAAAACATTTCCCTCTAAATCATTTGAGTTAATGGTAGAATTCTTGGCAGGGATAACTACTAACAATGGATCATTAAATTTGTAAATATTGACCTACTATACATCCATGTAAACTGTTACTTTCTTTGAAAAAAAATTTTATTTTTTAATTTTGGAGCGGGGAAGATCTTTCTAAAGTATAAAACAAAGCCCAGAGTCCATGAAGAAAATGATTGTTACACTTTACCACATATTTAAATAAAATTTGTTCTTTGTATATATCACAAACAAGTTTTAAAAGACAACAGATATGTGGGGAACAATTGTGTAAATAAATGTGTGAGAAGAATATTTGTCTCTGCATTACTTTTTTAAAAAATTATTTTTATTTGAGTATAGTTGACACATAATGTTACATTAGTTTCAGGTGTACAGCATAGTGATTCAACAGTTCTATGCAACTTACTTTTTCTTTCTTTCTTTTTTTTTTTTTTTTAAAAGATTTTATTTATTTAACAGAGAGAAAGAGAGAGAGAGAGAGGGAACACAAGCAGGGGGAGTGGGAGAGGGAGAAGCAGGCTTCCCACCCAGCAGGGAGCCCGATGTGGGGCTCGATCCCAGGATCCTGGGATTACGACCTGAGTCGAAGGCAGACGCTTAACGACTGAGCCACCCAGGCGCCCCGCAACTTACTTTTTCTTTACTCATTTGTAAATAAATGCCCTTTTTAAAATTGAGGTATAATTTGCGAACCATAAAATTTACCCTTTAAAGTGTACAGATCAGTGGCTGTTAGTATATTCAGGAGGTTGTGCAACCATCAGCACTATCTAATTCTGGAATAATTTTGATCATTCTAAAAAGAAACCCCAAACTCATTAGCTGTTGATCACCATTGCCCTCTCTTCACAGCTTTGGCAACCACTAACTTGCTTTGTCTCTTTGATTTACCTATTTCATGTAAATGGAATCATACTTTATGTGGCCTTTTATGTCAGGCTTCTTTTACTTGGCATCTAGGATAATTGTCATGCATGTATTAGTACTTTATTCTTTTTTTGTGGCTGAATAATATTCCAACATACCGATATACCACATTTTATTTATCCATTCATCTGATGATGGACACTTGGATTGTTTCCACTTTTTGGCTATTTGAAAAATGCTTTTATGAACATTTATATACAAGTTTTGGTGTAGACTTACGTATTCCATTCTCTTGAGTATATAGTTAGCGTTGGAGTTGCTGGGTCATATGGTAACTTTATGTTAAAACTTTTGAGGAACTGTTAATCTATTTTCCAAAGCAGCTATACCATTTTTACATTCCCAATAGCAAATTATGAGGGTTCTAATTTCTCCACATTCTCACCCACACTTGTTATTACATGTCTTTCTTATCATAATCATCCTATTTGGTGTGCAGTAATTGTCATGATTTTAATTTGCCTTTTCCCTTACAGCTAATGATGTTGAGCATCTTTTCACGTGCTTATTGGCCATTTGTATATCTTCCTTAGAGAAATATCTGTTTAGATCCTTTGCCTACTTTTTAATTATTTTGTTTTTTATTGTTGAGTTGTAAGAGTTCTTTATATATTCTGGATAAAAGTTTCTTAGATATATGATTTGCAAATATTTTTCTCTCTTCTGTGGGTTTTCTTTTCATTTTCTTGACAGTGTCCTTTGAAACAAAAGTTCTTAATTTTGATTAAGTCCAATTTATCTATTTTCTTTTTGATTACTTATGCTTTGGATGTCAAATCTAAGAAACTGTTGCCTAATCTAAGGTCACAAAGATTTACCCCTGCCTTTTGTTCTAAGAGTTTTTGGAGCGTTGGTTCTTACATTTAGTTCTTTGATCGATTTTGAGTTAGTTTTTGTATATGTTGTGATGGAGGGGGTCCAAATTCATTCTCTTGCATGTGGATATCCAGTTGTCTAGCACCAATGTTGAAAAGATTATCCTTTCCCCATTGAATGTTTTTGGCACCCTTTTCAAAAGTCAATTGACTATAAATGTGAGGTCTTATTTTTGGACTCTTGCTTTTATTCTGTTGATCATATGTCTATCTTTATGGCGATACCATACAGTTTTAACTACTATAGCTTTGTAGTAATTTTTGAAATTTGGACATACGAGTCTCAATATTGTTTTGACTATTTTGGATCCCTTGAATTTCCATCTGAATTTTGGGTCAACCTGCCAATTTTTACCAAAAAATGCCATTAGAATTTTGAGAGGGATTGAATTGAATGTATGTGTACATTTGCAAATATTGGCATCTGCATAATATTAAGTATTCCAATCCATGAACGTGGATGTCTTTCATTTATTTAGGTCTTCTTTAATTTCTTTCAATGATGTTTTGTAGTTTTCAGAGTACAAGCCTTAACACTTCTTTTGTTAAATTTATTCCTAAGTATTTTGTTATTTTTGATGCTGTTGTATGTGGAATATATTCTTGATTTCATTTTTGAATTTTTTTCTTGGTAATGCATAGAAAAACAATTGATATAATTGATTGTATTTTGATCTGGCTTCCTGAAACCTTGCTGAACTCAAGTAGTTCTAATAGCTTTTTTGTGAATTCCTTAGAATTTTCTATGTACAACATCATGACATCTGAAAGAGAAATAATTTAGTTTTCTTTTTCTTTTTTTCTTTCTTTTTTTTAATTGAATATCTAGTATATGCCAGGCCCAGAGATAGATTTAGTTTTCAAACTGGATTCTTTTTATTTTATTTTCTGGCTCTGGCTAGAACCTCTAGTATGATGTTGGCTAGAAATGGCAAAAGCAGACATTCTTGTCTCATTCCTGGTCTTTGGCAGATCAGTCATTGATCATTAAGTTTGATGTTAGCTGTGGGCTTTTTGTAGGTGCTTTTTGTCAGGCTGAAGAAGTTCCCTCCTATTACTAGCTTATGGACTGTTTTTATCCTGAAAGGGTGTTGAATTTTATCAAATGTTTTTCTCTGCATTGAATGAAATGATTATGTGGTTTTGTCTACTACTATATTAATATGGTTCACTGTATTGATTGATTTTCATTTGTTGAAAAATATCTGCCTTTATGTTATTTTTTAAACTGTAGAAATTTTACAGTAGAATGGAGAGCAAAAATTCATCAACGTGAATTAAACTCTTGTTTAACAGTATCAGTACATTTCTGTGCAAAGATACAAATGATTGAAGACTTAATGACATCTCTTTCAGGACCAATTTTTATTTTATAATATTTCATCCATATTTTCTTTCTGTGTCTACTCGAAAGCTAAGGAGGAAAGAAATGAAGTAGCGGAATTGAGAAAAAGTTTGTGACTGACAAAGTTTGTGCATTATCTACTCCTAAATGTGGGGAATGATAAAGGTCATTAACAAGGCTGATATCCTTAGAAGAGACTCAGAAAACAATGGTGTGAACCTTCTATAAAACCAAAAAATGAAAAGAGAATGATTTCCAGTTTTACCCTTATAAGTTTCCCTGAAATTATGGCTAGAATTTAGGAGCATCTGGAAGCTTTGAGATGGTTGGTGGTCTTAATAAAGTTGTAGCCTTTGTAGAACAACTCTACTTTTATTTATTTCTAAATTTTTGAATGATAATGTCAGTATTAATGTGAAAATTGGTTTAAGCACAAAACAATACTTATACTAGGAAAATAATCTTTTGTGGGTTTTTAGCAATGCCAAGTTTTTAAAAACTTGTATAGGTTTAGGAAGGGCTATATTACACTAAATACTGAGAAAATCAACTTGGTTAATATGTGAGGGACACATATTTTTGGAAAACAAAAGAATGGTACACTTCAGCTGCAGATCTATCCTGGGGTTCTCAGAGTTTTGCTGTCACGTATATGCTGAGACCAGGGCTTAGCTCCTTATGGAAATCCATTCGTAATGCAAATTTTATCTGTTCAAAGCTAGGGCAATTTGGAAATATATCATCAAGTCATTTATTCAAATGGCATGATGAAACATTAACATTTAAAACAACGTTTATGAATCCCAGAACCAGAAACAATGAAGTTATAGTTTTTTTGCACTTTAGAATTTCAAAACCAGTTCCCTTGCCTCCTGACTTCCCTCTTAACAGGCTTTTCCCCGGGATTTATCTCCTTCAAAAGGAAACATTAATGTCATGGGGAACACCGATTTACTTAATGTAGGTGATTCCAAATTTTATATTTATATCTTTTCTTGCAACAGAAAAGAAATTATACAAATATGTCCAATGTCATAATACTTTGCCCAGTTAAATATGCCAAAGGATTTTTAGCTTGAAAGAGAGCTTGGACCAAGACAAATTTAGGGTGATGGTAAGTAATAATTATAATGTAAATCTAACTTATAATTGTAGGTCTAGTAATGAAGTGTCTTAGGTTATTCTATCATGCTACCAACTGAATCAAATTGAGATAGTCCTGTAAATTTAGGAGTGTGGTAAAATTATGAACTGAAAGTTTAAAAAAATGTTTTATCTGTTGGGCAGAGCTAAAATAATACCATTAGTCTCTGTTTGGGTGGTGCTGTTATTCTGTCCAAAGTGCTGTTAAAAATAGCAGTATTTAATTTGTTCCTCACAATATACTCAGGAGGAATGATGGTTTGTTATGATCAGTGTCCTGCTTTTTCAAGATTGGGTAAACTGAGACATGGAAAGGATACGTTATATAGAAAGGATGAATAATAAACACATTGGGCCTCCAACCCTGGCCTCCTGTCTCCCACTTAGTTTTTTCCATGAGCTATTCAGCCAGTTTTGAAATTTATCTGAGAATTTATAAAATTTGTATGTGGATATCATTAGATGGTAACTAGAATGCGTACATGGGATGATGTAATGAATTATCTTGAGTGCTAATGGGTATTATGTTGTTTGAATGCTTTCTTTTCTAGAGTAAATATGGCAGAGCTTTCTGAGACAGATGGACCAGTAGATTGGAAAGAACGATGTGTAGCTCTGGAGTCCCAGCTCATGAAATTTAGAGTTCAAGCAAGCAAGATAAGAGAGCTCTTAGCAGAGAAGGTAAGCTTTTCTATCCAACCTTTGTTATCAAACATCAGCTGTTTGGGGCATATTTCATTTACATTAAGTAATCTCAGTACTTTTGGGGGTAAACATTTTTATTTTTTTTTATTTTTTATTTTTTTAAAGATTTTATTTATTTATTTGACAGAGAGAGACACAGCGAGAGAGGGAACACAAGCAGGGGGAGTAGAAGAGGGAGAAGCAGGCTTCCCACCAAGCAGGGAGCACGATGCGGGGCTCGATCCCAGGACCCTGGGATCATGACCTGAGCTGAAGGCAGACGCTTAATGACTGAGCCACCCAGGCGCCCCTTTTTTTTTTTAAGATTTTATTTATTTATGGGGGTAAACATTTTAAAAATCAAGAACATAATGTAACTTTTTGTCAGGGCTTTGAAACTATTTTTGGCATATTCTTTTGCCAGTTTTAGAGTGAATTGGACATTAAGCCAAAAAGCATTTCTTCGCCAATGCTAGTGGAATATGTAAGAATTGTGTGTATTTGATGAATGCGGAGTTCATTCATTCCAGAGAGAAAAACTATGGTTTATTTGATTTTACTAGAGGTGTGTGACAGCATATTAATTTCCTAAATGTTTGGGAAAATCATGTTTAAAGTGATTATAGAAGAATATTCCCTATTGATAGTAAAACATGTTTATACTGTTTTTGAAAGTATGCATCTATTTAGGAATTTGTATTGACTAACTGTATATCACTAAACTATAGTCTGGGCTAGAATTGAGTTTAATATAATTATATGCTTCTCTTAATAGTTCTAGCCATATAATTAAAATTTCATCTATGTCATAGGCATTTTTTTTCATATATGTGTGTAAAACTCATGGATTAATTCATTCACTTGTTCATTCATTCAACAAATATTCCCTGAGGGCTCATTTTGTGCCAGACACTCTTCTTAATGCTACAGTTACATCTGTGAACAAGAAAACCCATACTCCTGTTAGCAGGGAACCTGGATTCTAGAACTGTATGGTCCAATACGGTCAACCACTAGCCACAAGCGACTACTGAGCATTTGAAATGAGGCTAGTACAAATTGAGATATGTTGCAAATGTAAAATACACCTCAATTTCAAAGATTTAGTATGAAAAAAAGAATGTAAAATATCTTAGCAATGATTTTCATGTTGATCACATGCTGAAATAACATTTTGGATATTAGATTAAATAGAAAATACTGGGGCGCCTGGGTCGGCCTAAGTCACGATCCCAGGCTCCTGGGATCAAGCCCCGCATCCGGCTCCTTGTTCAGCAGGGAGCCTGCTTCTCCCTCTCCTCCCCACTTGTGCTCTCTCTCACTATTTCTCTCTCTCTCAAAAATAAATAAATAAAATCTTTAAAAAAAAAAAAAAGAAAATACTAAGATTAACTACATCTATTTCTTTTTACTTTTTAAATATGGTTACTAGAAAATTTTAAATTACATATGTAACTCACACTATATTTCTTTTTTTTAAAGAGTTATTTATTTATTTAATTTAAAAAAATTATTTAAAAAATTTTAATTTCAGGGTAGTTAACATACAGTGCTATATTAGTTTCAGGTGTACAATATAGTGATCCAACAGTTCCACACGTTACTCAGTGCTCATCAAAGAAAAGTGCACTCCTGGGGTGCCTGGGTGGCTCAATCTTACGTTAAGCAGCTGCCTTCGGCTCAGGTCATGATCCCAGGATCCTGGGATCGAGCCCCACATCGGGCTCCCTGCTCAGCGGGGAGCCTGCTTCTCCCTCTCCCACTCCCCCGGCTTGTGTTCCCTCTCTCACTGTCTCTCTCTCTGTCAAATAAATAAAATATTAAAAAAAAAGAGAAGTGTACTCCTAATCCCCTTCATCTATTTCACCATCCCCCAAACAAACATCTGTTTGTTCTCTATGGTTAAGAGTCGGTTTTTCGTTTGTCTTTTTTTTTTCTTTGTTCATTTGTCTTGTTTCTTAAATTCCACATATGAGTGAGATCATATGGTATTTGTTTTTCTCTGGCTTATTTCACTTAGCATTATTCTCTCTAGATCCATCCAAGTTGTTGCAAATGGCAAGATTTCATTCTTTTTATGGTTGAATAATATTCCATTATATATATAATAGAATATTATATATGGAATGTATATATATATAAATCACATCTTCTTTATCCACACTTCAGCTGCTTCCATAGTTTGGCTATAATGCTGCAGTAAACATAGGGATTCATATATCCCTTTGAATTAGTGTTTTCATATTCTTTGGGTAAATACCCAGTAGTGCAGTTACAGGATCAGAGGCTCATTCTATTTTTAATTCTTTGAGGAACCTCCATTCTGTTTTCCACAGTGGTCATACCAGTTGCATTTCCACCAACAGTGCATGAGGATTCCTTTTTCTCCCCAACACTTGTTTCTTATGATTTTGGTTTTAGCCATACTGACAGGATGACTCGCATTATATTTCTATTGGACAGTGCTGTCTAGATGGATAGATAAATGGTATTGTCATTCACACCTGATCAGAAGAATTTACAGGTGGTTTCTCAAGCACTTGTCTGCATAATCCTTTGGGATGGAGACTGGTACATACATCACATCTTCAAAAAAGATTTTTAATCTGCCATTGATAAGTGAGACTCTCTCTCTCTTTTTTAAAGATTTTATTTTTAAGTAATCTCTACACCCAATATGGGGCTCAAACTAACAACCCCAAGATCAAGAGTCCCATGTTCCACAGACTGAGCGAGCCAGGTGCCCTGCTAGCTGAGAATCTCTTAGCACAGAAGTATTCTAATAAAATCCAGGAAAACATCATTCAGTTTATTTTTTAAAATTAAGAAAAAGAAATTTTTTTAAGCAGGCTCCAACGCAGGGCTTGAAGTCATGACCCTGAGATCAAGATCTGAATGGAGATCAAGAGTCAGACGCTTAACCAACTGAGCCACCCAGGGGTCCTAAACATCATTCAGTTTAAACTTTCATATATATCATCTTAAATTTTTGTGCTTTAACATCTTTTAGGTGCAAAGATTAAAATTATTCTATTCACTTTGGGTCAAAGGATGACCTAGTAATAGGCTTTGTGGAATAAATCCCCAATATCAATTGGCTTTTGTTTATCACCATTAGAATAAAAGTTACGATCTGAAAAAAAAATCCCAGTTTGAATATCTCCTAAATTGAGGAAGCTTATTCTAACTCAAAGTTAGTGACTCATGCTTAGTCTTTTGCTCCTCTCTCTATAAAAATCATTTCCCAGACTGTGCTGATTTATCTAGTATTTTCCACAATCCCAGCCAGTCCATACAATGATTTTATTAAGATCATCAATTATATGCTTTTGCTGCCGTACCTCATGGACACTTACCAGGTGTTGCCTTAGCCTTTTAGCAGTTAGTACACTGTTGGCCACAGCCTCCTTAAAATTTTCTTGGTGCCTTGACTTCTGTACTCTCTGGGTTTCTTTGTGGACTAAATAGGAGTTATGCTTATTTGGGTTTCGGTGAATTGACCTTTAAGTTCTAAATTTTCTGGCAACATTTGTTCTTTAGAAGGCATGTTTCAACAAATTTCTTTATGAGTGCCCATTTTTCAGAATTTAGAAGTGATATTTTCTCTATAAGTATATTTATAAATAAGCTTTTTGGTTGTTAGTTTAGGTTATTCGTTTTTTTTTTCTTTGCTGGTGAATGAATATTGAGAGGAATATTATTTCAAAATTGCTATTGTAGGGGCGCCTGGGTAGCTCAGTCAATTAGGCGTCTGCCTTCAGCTCAGGTCATGATCCCAGGGTCCTGGGTTCATCCCCGCCTGCTTCTCCTTCTTCCTCTGCCTGCCGCTCCCCCTGCTTGTGTGCACGTGCTCTCTCTTTCTCTCTGCCAAATAAATAAATAAAATCTTTTTTAAAAAATTGCTATTGTAGTTGTGGTTTCTTTCCTTCTCCTTCTTTGTCTCCTTCATCTTCTGTATTTTTTTTATCTGTGACTTAGATCCTGTGACAGATCTAAGAGGTGGAATTATTCAGATGTGTTTTATACAGTGGAAAGTGGACAAGTATGCCAAGTTACTCATGGTTTCCTAGTAAATATATTCAACACTAAAATGAGAATAATGTTTTTCATGATATTTTCTGTTATATTCCATTACGAAGTATTTTTCCCTGGATTAAAATTATTTTTGGTACCCACCCATGTTCTAATAAAAATGCCAAATATGTGTTGATTTATTATGTGCTAAGCACTTTGTAGATATAATTTATTTAATTCTTATAACAAGCTATAAAGTAAGACATTTTATTGTTCCCGTTTTACAGATTGGGACACTGATGCTTACTATGTGCTGGGCAATCTTCTTTACATATACATTGTTGGTGCTTTCTATATATAAAAAAAGTTTATATATACACATACATACACACACAAAATCTATTTATATGTTATATGTATAAAAATATATTAGATATTTATGTAACATATAAAGTGCTTTATATATATTAACTTTTTAATTCTTATAACAACCCTATGAGGTAGGTACTAATACTACTCTTTTTTATCCAGGAAGAAACTTAGGCACATAAAAGTTCCTTAACTTGCCTGAGTTTATGCTAAAGAGTGAGTGATGGAGACAAGAATTGAAACTGAGCATTCTGCTTTTAGAGCCTGAATGCTTAGCTATCACCCTCTATGGCTTCTCTAATCTAGTTTTATCACCACATTCCTTGCTTTCTCTGATATAGTCAGCCACTCATCTATTCTGTCTTCCCCTCAGCCATGCAACATTTAAATCCATCTCTGCTTGAGAGCAGGTATCTGTGGGTGTTATGTATGTAGTAATAACAATTTACCTAGCACTACATATTTTTAAAGAAAACCCTATTGCATTGCTTCTGTATGCCAACTTGAGTCAAATGTTGCATTCCAGAGGCCAGTCTGGTCCGATTCATAACCTTTGGTTTGTGTTAGGACCGGTCTGCCCCAAGGCTTCTCCCAAATAGTTCTCCAGACCTTCC